CGACACCTCCAACCGCAAACGTTAGAGTTGCAACGAAGCAATGCACGGTAAAATGTAGAATTAGAAAAAAAAAGCTGATGCAAGAAATATAAATAAATAAAAACCGCTTCCTCGCTTAGTTTAGCCTGTTCTTTAACTCTTTCAATTCTTAAAGCGATTGGCTCAGAAGAGCTTGAATGTGGCACAAGTTTGCAAGTGTAGAGCACCCCGTGAAGATCAAGGTCATTAGTCAGTTGTAACTGATCTAGCAAGACAAGCTTGCTAACCATTACACCACCTCGAGGTGCCCAAAATATCTGCCTATATCTCTGAGATAAGGTATTATGATTACTTGTATTATTTACATTATTCGGCCTGTTATCCTCATCTTCATTGCCATATTCAAAGCTTTTCGGCCATTGTACGTTCCGGCCTTCCACGGGTGGTTGGAGTTTCGAACTGAACCATTTATTTCGTCCATCGGGGTAGAATGTTCTAGTTCCACGTGCCATGCCTCTTACGGATGTCTCAGTTAACTCAACTCTCCAAGTTGTTTTTTTTTTTGTTCACCTCTACTGTGGCCTGGTATTGATCTCAGAACTCTTTTGGATCTAGTCACTGGATCTAACCAACGTCTTTAGCCACTTGGCCATGTGTCCTTGAGGAACGTCGTGAATATGGCGACGAAGATGAGGATAACAGTCTGAATAATGTAAATAATGTAAGTAATCATAATACCTCATCTCAGAGATATAGACAGAGATATAGACAGAGATATAGAGAGACATAGACATAAAGGCCGGATTGTACAACGGCCGAAACGTTGTGAATATGGCAATGAAGATGAGGATAACAGCCCGAATAATGTAAATAATCCCCAAAATAAAAAAATTGGCCGTAGCTTAGATGTGACACAAGGTTGCAAGTGTGCAGCACCAAGTTTTACCACATGTGGGGCCCCGTTTCATTCTCGAGATAGAGATTTACTAAGCATAGGTTAGATGTGTCACAAGGCCAAAAGCAGGGAGCACCTAGTGAGGATCGAACTCACAACTCAATTGTAATTAATCTAGAAAACAAGCTCGTTAAACATTACACCACTTCGAAGTGCCCTCATGGTATACTAAGCATAGCTTAGTATGTAGCAAAAGACAAAAATTAAGGAGCGTTCTGTAATCGTACAACTTCCCTCCCCGGTCGTCCAAGACTTCCAACACTGCGACTGGTCGCGGAAGTGACCGCTTCAATGCAGAGCTGACCTTATCCCACATTTTGATTTTTTTTAGATCATAAGACAGCCAAGATCGAATCGTCCCAAGTATCTTCGTGCTGGGCTGGTTCAACCAGGGCGATGACGTCCAGGGAGAAAAATAATACACGAATAAATTAAACTAAATAAATACTGTTTTTATATCAGTCATCCGTGCAATAATTGGTTTATATCAGAGTTCGTATGCAATTAATTACCAGCCAACACGCGTCTATATCGGAAGTGATATTATCGTTGTCGACATGGTAAAGTTTGGTTTGCTGTTTTGGTAAAGTTTAGCACAAAGCTTAAGTCGGGGGTTCCCTTCGGCAGATAAATCACATAGGCCTTTCTGCTATCTCTGGTCTTGTCCCCGTCTCTTCTGCATCTCTTCTGCCTAATTCGCTTCGCGCATTCGTATTTATGGACATTCACCCAAACTGACGAAATAAGAGAATTTAATAATTCTGGGGAATTCCTTTCTCCCACTCTCTCATATTATTACCTCTCACTAAATCCCCTCAGTGTGCGTGGGTGGCTTATCTACCCGCCTCCTGGTATTTCAACTCAACTTTCGACCAGGGGAATAAACTCCAAATTCGTTGTTTACGGAAAATGAAATGTTTGCTTTACAGGTTGCATTTTCAGCTGTGTATCAATCAAGCCTAAGTCTGGGTCATTTTTTCCATTGGTCAAACTGCTCGACATACAATTCAAGTCATTGAAGTGACCGCTTCGATCCAGAGCTAACCTTAATCAAACTTGTGATTTAAGGTTGATCATAAGGCAGCCAAGATCAAATCATTACATGTATCTTCGTGTCGGGTTGGTCCAAGCAGGGCGAAGACGTACAGGGGAAAAAATAACACTCGAATAAATTGAACAAAAGTAAATACTGTTTTTATATCGGTCCTTCATACAATAATTGGTTTATATCAGAGTTCGCATTCAGTTAATTATCAGCCCAATTCGCGTCTAAATCGGAGGTGATATTATCTTTGTTGACTTGGGTTTGCTGGTTTGATAAAGTTCGGCACAAGGCTGAAGTTGGGGTTTCTCTTCGACAGGCAATCACGTGGGGGTGTATCACAACCGGTGGCTGGGACGAACTCTTTTCCGTCTCTCTCTTGTCTCTGTCTCCATCTCTGGTCTGACCCAGTAAGAATCGAACTCACTCAGTCAGTGAATCGCGCTTAGGCGATCATGTATCTTTCGATACATGACTGACAAGGCAGATTGTTTCTCTCAGTTGGTTGCCATTTCTTTCTGCAGTAGACCAGTTGCCATCCAAGGCTATAGAACCCGGTCTGTCCTGCTATTTTACCCATAGCTAAGGGGAAGAAGAAGAGGATTCCTACCTGTCCCATTTCCTTTCTTATACCTAAGTGAATATAATGGATTCGACTGGAATTCGAACTCAGCTCCTCTGTGGTTCAATCGGTTAAAGCACATCAGGCTATATGACGGTCCCGTATATGATACAGGTTCGATTCCTAAAGGAGGACCCATAATTTCTATGAAAATTTCTCGAAGATTCAGGCCGGTAAATGTCGTTAATGCTGTTTATTATAAAACAAAGCATTTACTTAAATATTTGTATCTATAAAAAGAACGTATAAACATAAAAATGTCTTCTTCATTTTCTAGTCCAGCACTCACTGCCATACAGGAGGACAGATGTCACATACAGCTTAGTACTCTTTTCCTTGTTTCAAGCGATTTTTTTTTTGTATTTCTTGGTATTCTACTAAATTTTTGGAATGTTTTCTTGGCTATCCCAATACACCTTCGGATTTCCGTCCTCTGTTAAAACACGCCTCAGATATTCAAATTTCCGCACTTGTTTGCTTTTCGTATCTCCGATTTGCCATTCGGAGTTTGGGCTCACGTCTTTTTGCTAACAACCATGCATTTTGTCTTCTTGCAGTTGATGTTTAATTTTTTTTCTCACTTTTCTTTACTGCCTTCTGTAGGAGTTTTTGTTTTTTTGTTTTTTCTTTCTGTGTCTGCTATCTACACGGTGTCATCTGCATATCTTATAAGACGCTAAAATTAACGGTCCATGCAACAGACGAACATGATGTACACAATACACACACCACTCCTTAATTCACCAACAGAATACGTTCAACATTTTCTTAGTTTTTTTGTTTTGTTTTTTGTTTTTGTTTTTTTACGAGACTTTTCAGAAGATTCCTCTCAGGTACATTTCTTGAAATTTTCTCGACACGAAAATATCTGCGATAGAATTTTTTATTGTATCATATTTGTTTCATTATCTCTTTGTCAATTTTCTCAAAGAATTCAGCACGTTTAGTTTTGTCCGTCAACACACGACGACGCCTTCTCAGCTTCAAACGATGGCCTCTAACCTAATAACAATGTCAGTAATAATTTGAAAGCCAATTGTTATGGCGTAATAACAGATAATTTGAAACATGATCAATTCACAGCTGACTGTTTTCTTGCTATGTTGTTAAAAATGAGCCACAAAAATCTTCCACGTGACAGACACAGAAAATATTTCACTGGTAGAGCAATTTCAGCATACAGCAATTTAAAATCACTTATTAATCTTATCTATTATGAAAAAGATCTTAGTTTTAAAGCTGAGTGTCCTTACGTTGTGTCATCCATGGCTAATGTGCATGTGATGGACTATCAGTAACGATCAAAAGAGAAATAAAAAAAAACTCTATTTTGTGGACAGCAGTTGAAAATCAAATAGTATTCCAGAAAGGTTGGTTGATTTAGTTTAGCGGTATATCAACCTCTATGGATTATTCAATACCGTAATCTAAATATTTTGAAAGCAAATGTATGGCTTCAACTAAATATATTTTGAACGTAATTGTATGCCTTCAACTAAATATATTTTGAAAGCAAGTTTATGCCTTCAACTAAATATCTTTGGAACGCAACTGTATGCCTTCAGCTAAGTGTATTTTGAACGTAATTGTATAACTTCAACTAAATATATTTGAACGCAAATGTACGCCTTCAACTAAATATATTTTGAACGCAAATGTACGCCTTCAACTAAATATATTTTGAACGCAAATGTATGGCTTCAACTAAATGTATTTTGAACGCAAATGTACGCCTTCAACTAAATATATTTTGAACGCAAATGTACGCCTTCAACTAAATGTATTTTGAACGCAAATGTACGCCTTCAACTAAATATATTTTGAACGCAAATGTACGCCTTCAACTAAATGTATTTTGAACGCAAATGTACGCCTTCAACTAAATATATTTTGAACGCAAATGTATGGCTTCAACTAAATGTATTTTGAACGCAAATGTACGCCTTCAACTAAATATATTTTGAACGCAAATGTATGGCTTCAACTACATGTATTTTGAACGTAACTGTAAGCCTTCAACAACTAATAAAATGTATTCTTGGTAATGCTACTATAAAATGTATTTTTCCTTTAATAATGTATAGCTCGTAATTTCAATATAAGTATATATTGTTAATAATTTATTTTATATAAAAATTTCTTTCTGTTATTTTTATTATAAAAAATGTTTTTTATTCGTCCATTTTTTTTAATTTTTTTATTTATTTTTTTTTTTTTTTTTGGTTTCACTGTATTGCTGATAGCTGGGTGGTGCTACCACTCTGGCTCAGACCTGGGATTGGATGAACACCAATTAAAAGGTAGTTCCACGTTCTTGAAAACTTCCAATCTTCCAACCAGAGGCCTTGTTGCCGGATGTAGTTCATCGTTATATCCATGTCATCCCGAAATAATTATATATG